GTCTTGTGACCTCTTGTTCTCCCCCACTTTGCCTATGGGGGTGTGTCAGACTCATATTATATAGCTTGTGTAGGCTATAGTGGGGTAGACACTATGGGGTACAGTTTCCTAGGGTTTCCTACTTGTACCCAATTTTATGCTAGTTCATTTCATTCCTCGATTCTAACAACATTCACTATTATCAAAGTTCTCACAAAGACTTCCACTACCAATCTCTACTAACGCATTCCTACCCTATCCAAGATCCTTACTCTAACATGGTATTAGAGCTAGTTTGGATTATGGGAACTGCTAAAGACCTCAAAACATGCTCTTATTACAAGACATCCCTACACCAAGAACAAAAACATCAAGGGCATCAACATGCCAGGTGCAGATTGCGGTGAGGCTGGAGAAAATCCAGTACAGCCCTCCACCAATTTTGCTTCTACTACAACGTCTATGGACACATCGCTCCTCGAGCAGCTGATCTCCCGCATCAGCGCACTGGAGAGCCATTAGCTGATTAGCATCGACGGCTCCAGCTATGCCCTAAGACCTCCCGATCCTCAAGGAGCTGGATCTGAGCGATCCTTCACCTTTGACAACCGCGGAGCTCAAGGTTCTGCACAAGCATAACAGACGCATTACGAGTAAATGGCGTCAATGCAGAGCAAGTTCCTCTCAACATCGAAACTCAGGACAACGAAGCCCTTCAATGGGCAAGATTTCTACACCTGGAGTTTCGAATTCGAATTACTAGCTCAGGGCGCTCGGATCTGGATGTATTACGACGAATCGTACGCATTCCCAACCAACGGCTCACCTCAGGAGAAGACGCAGTTTTACAACGAATCGCTCTTGGGCTTCACCGTCTTGATTCGGAACCTGTCGTCCGAAGAGCAGCTGAGCATTTGCCCCTTCAAGAACGAGTGGGCACCCGCGCAACAGTCCTAGGAACACCTGCGCACCTGCCACATGGCAACAGATTCGGTGACACTTAGTCGCCTACTCAACCAGCTGAACAATGTCAAGATGTTCCCCGGAGAAAAGGACGGACCATATATCAACCGCTGCAGGAACCTGAGAGACCAGTTCAGGAAAAGCGGCGGTAACTTCCCTGACGACATGTTCGTCACCATCATTCTCATTGGATTGAGCCCGAAATGGCGCCAGTGCAAGTCGCTCCTTCGTACTCAAGGGACCCTCAGTGAAACAGCCTTGTGTTCCATGCTCCTCTCCGAACAGAAGGAGATCGACCTGTACAACGAAAGAGGCAATAAGAAGGAGAAAATTGCTTTCTAAGCACAAGCGCCACCGGATAATAAAGAACTCTTCTGCAAGTACTGCAAGAAGACTGGGCATCAAGACTGCTGGAAGCTGAATGGCAATAACATTAACCAGAATGGTGCCACTGCTCACCAACAAGGAGGAGCTCCGGCGCGCAACCAGACAGTGTCACCACCAGCCGTCGCCAGCATGTCTCAAGTTCCGGCGCGTGTTTCTACGAACATAAACGACAAGGGCAAAAGCAAGGTTTTGACTTGCATGGTGCGTCGAGGACCGCCTCGCCCAAACCGGCACTACCGCTTCTTCCGCAACTGGGAGGACATGTTTGCAGACCCGCCTCAAGAACGACCCGAAGGATCAATTGAAGATGAAGAAGAAAATGATCCAATGTACGACGAGCTGACAGTCGGACGGCCGCAGTGGATCTAAGAGTCGCCACCTGCATACATAGCATACGATGAAGAAGGGTGTTATTATGACTACGAGAACGAGCACGACATGGAGCATCACATCACTCCGAAGGATGTGTATGAGAACGTAGCGTTGGAAAAGGATGTGTATGAGAACGTAACGTTGGAAAAGGGTGTGTATGAGAATGTAACGTTGGTAAAGGATGTGTATGAAAATGAAAGCACGATGCAGCGTGTTAGCATGTGTGGAAGCGACCTGTGCAACCTAGCTCGCAAAGAGAAGATACAGAGAGTGCAATAGGGAGGAATCTTGGAGAGCGAGAGTGGAGGGGACAGGGGGAGATGCTTAGAAGAGAGTAAGGGGGGGGACTGGGGGAGATGCTTAGAGGAGAGTGGAGGGGGGACAAGGGGAGATGCTTAGAGGAGAGCGGGGGGGGGACAAGGGGATATGCTTAGAGGAGAGTGGGGGGGGGACAGGGGGAGATGCTTAGAAGAGAGTGGGGGGGGATAGGGAGAGATGCTTAGAGGAGAGTGGGGGGGGGACAGAGGGAGATGCTTAGAGGAGAGTGGGGGGGGGACAGAGGGAGATGCTTAGAGGAGAGTGGGGGGGGGACAGGGGAGATGCTTAGAGGAGAGTGGGGGGGGAACAAGGGGAGATGCTTAGGACGCGCTTCCGGCGCATCCCGTCGACGATCCCGCCACCGTCAGGCGCCGCGGCGCTGGTTCGAGTAGCACCGTCATCCGTTTGTGCCATGACAGAAATCGCCGTTGGAAAGCCCTGCTAAGGCAACACTCCGGGGAAAATCGCGAGCGTGCTGTCTTGCCGCGCGAACTACGAGCCGGCGCCGGCCGGATCTCCCTTGCACTGTACTACGGAAACGGAGTAGCAGATGTTGTGGAAGGTCAGCACAAAAGCGAGGGCAGCGGAGGCTGAGTCGGGGGAAGGTGAAATTTTCTTGCTGGCGGCTTCGCGTTTGTGCGCTTCGACATTGATCGTCAAGTATCCGGATGACGACGTGGAAAATGTGCGTCGTCGCTATCGTCAATGTCACTCAAAAAATCGTGGTCGTCGTCTATGTTATCGATAGTAACGCAATCGTTTCTGGGAATTGGCGGCCGCTGCGGGGCCGCGGCGGCATTGGTCGCTGTAGGGCTAGACATTGTGTGCTAAGTGATGGCCGCTACGAGAATTTCTGCCGTACGCGATTGAAAGTGGTTTTCGACAATCCATCTGATATACAGCTGAGCATCAAGGGAGGAAGGATGAAGTGAGGGATAGGGTGCAGCCCACAGCGACTCTCTTGATTCGCTAGTGGAGCAGATTGAGATCGCGCGCCTCGAAATCGAATACTACACACCTTTTTCGCGGAAGAGCTTATGATCGCCGGCATCCACGGTGCATTTCAAAATTTGGGAAGTACTGTACTATATAGTCCCTAAATTTGTACAGTGTTACAAAGGGGGTCACCGAAATGATGAGAGGGTTCATCTGTAATAGCAAAATCTCGAGTGTGACTACCCGTGATAGAATTTAGTTCTTTTGAGTGACGGCGGGTGATACCCTTGTGATGATTCGTGATAGATTTGGCGGAATAAGTGATCGTTCGTGATAGCGCCGTGACTGCTCGTGATAACTCCGAAATGTTTTATGATGGCCCGTATAAAAGCCCAAAAAACTGTCTGAAATCTCAGAAGAACAGACAGAAATGTGAAAATGTAATATTCTTATACAATTGCATGTTTAGTTAGTTAGTGTAGTATCACCCATCTTCTCTTAGGTGGTCTACCTCCCTTCATCACCTCCCCTGTCCTACACATTGTTCCCTAATCCTATAGTGCAACCTTCTTTGGCCAACTCTCTCTCACAAACCCTAGTCTCCACTAGCTACTATTCTGACATGGTACAAAGCAGTAAAACGGTCTAAGGACCTACCTTTTCTTCACGGAACATGGGCCCACCCGTACTAGAGCGCGAAATGCGCTACTTTTATATCGTCGCTGGTCGCGCCCGAGGTGCCTGCGCGTCCCTATTTCCGTCGTGCTCGTCGCGCTCTGCCCGGTCGCGCCCAAAGCGCCTCCCCGTCCCGATTTCCGTCGCCGCGGCGCCCCTGATTCTCATCGCCGCGGCGCCACGCGTTCCGCCACCACAGTGCCCCGCTTCCCGTCGCCGCAGCGCCCTGGTTCCCGTCGACCGTGGGGCCCCCCCTTCCCGTCGACCGCAGCTCAACCTTCCCGTCGCCCCGCGATCCGCCAGTGACGAGCGCCAGCGCCTGCCCCTACGACCAATGTCGGCGCCTGCGCGGACGCCACTGACGAGCGCCAGTGGCGCGCGCGCCAGCGCAACGACCAGCCGCGAGCGCCAGCGCCAGCGCGGACCGCCAGCGCCAGCACCTGCGATCAGCGCCAGCGCCAGGTGCCAATGGAGCGCCAGCAGCAGCTAACGCCGCCCCCCCACCCTCCCTCCCTTCCGCGGCTTCCATCGTGGGGAGGGAGGAGGGGGAGATGTGGGGGTGACGGGTGTGAACCGCCAACAACCCGTCCCTCCCTTCCCTCTTCCTCTCTTCCTGCAGCACTGGTTGCTGTAGAGGGGGGGGGGGGGGGGGGAGGAGAGAGGTTAAGGGGGGATGAGAGAGGTTAAGGGGGGATGAGAGAGAGAGAGAGAGAGAGAGAGAGAGAGAGAGAGAGAGAGAGAGAGAGAGAGAGAGAGAGAGAGAGAGAGAGAGAGGCTTAGGATCTAGTCCTTAGTCTCTCCAGCCCTTCCTAGCTTAGTATATAGGCCCTAGAACCTAGGTGTGGGGTTCATTCTTCATTCTGTTCTCTGCATTCCTTCTCCTAACCCAGCGGCTCGCGAGAGAGGGCGAGAGAGAGAGAGAGAGAGAGAGAGAGAGAGAGAGAGAGAGAGAGAGAGAGAGAGAGAGAGAGAGAGAGAGAGAGAGAGAGAGAGAGAGAGAGAGAGATTGAGAGAGAGAGAGAGAGAGAGAGAGAGAGAGAGAGAGAGAGAGAGAGAGAGAGGAGAGAGAGAGAGAGAGAGAGAGAGGCTTAGGATCTAGTCCTTAGTCTCTCCAGCCCTTCCTAGCTTAGTATATAGGCCCTAGGACCTAGGTGTGGGGTTCATTCTTCATTCTGTTATCTGCATTCCTTCTCCTAACCCAGCGGCTCGCGCCGGCCACCTTCGGCGGCCGACGCTCGACAGCGCGGCCTTCGGCCGCGCGTTAGGGGTGACAAGATCAAAAGAACACAGGGACCAATATGGAGCACTACAACATGCAGAAGTAAAGGAACAACAGCAACTACAACACCCTTGGGCGTGACTACACCGCCATGGGGAAGCCCAGAGCCAAACCACGCCAGAAGGTGGTGGCCAAAGGGAGAGCACAGGCTATTCGGCGAGTATCCAAACAAGCCGCCCGTCCATCCAACGTAGCACAGAAGCAACGGCCGGCACGAGGTCGAGAGGTGACCGCGAAGCGGAGGACACAAGGCGACGTAACGCGGCAGGCCCCGGTCTAGAGGCAACACTAGGTGCTCCCAACTCCAGGACCATGTGTGGGAGCGATCGCATGATCTCCGTCACGGCTGCCACGGCAGACTTGGTCTCCTGCTGAGAAAGCCTCGGACACTCCAAACCGTGACACATCATGCAAGAATGCAGCTGGCCGAGGACTTCCGCCAAATGGTCCAGGCACATCGCCACGGTCATTACGCGCAGCTCAACGTCAAGCAAACGCTCAACAGGCGTGCACTCTCCCACCGGCTCCAACGCTCGTCTGGGGGCGGGTGCAGGCACGGCGGGAACCACAGCCTCACGGCTCACAGGAGCAGAGGCATACGACGGTGGCGGCGGGTGGCGGCGCCACACGGCAGGATGAGAGGCAGGCGGAGGAGTCTGCGGAGGAAGCCGAGGCCGCGGCTGCAGCGTCTAAGACTCGCCGAAAGGGAGAGGCGTTGGAAGAGGGGGATGCGGTTGCTGCGGACACCACTGACAGCAACCCAGGAGGCGCGGGAGATGACGCAAGCACCAACGGTGGACGCGGAGCCTGCACAGGGGGAGGCTGCTGCTGGAGCTGCCACTTCTGCCAACGGTTCAGTCTCTCCTGCTGCCTCTGTCGACGACGCAACATGTTCGGGTCCCCGAGTCCTCCTCGTGGAGGGGAGCGATAGGATCGGCGGAAGGGTGGGCATGGGCGCCGGGGGAGCGGTACACAGGGGAACGACGGCGGCAATGCGGGTCGCGTTCACGGTCGAGCCCGCCTTCAGCCAGCGCCGCGGCGACTCGGAGCAGCGCTGGCACCTGCCCACCCGGGGCCCCTCCGGGGATGGCATCAGCAAGGGCAGACACCACAAGAACCAAAGCTCCAGCCCCCATTGCCGACCGAAGAAGGAGTGAATGTCGCGGATACAGCAACAACACAGAGACAGCAACGCAGAAAACGTCAGTTGCGACAGGAGGCGGAAGAACCGGCGCCGAATGCGCCTCCGATAGCGCGACGTGCGACACGTTATGCGGCGAGAGCTCGTTGGGTGGCCCCGGCCACTCCGTGGGCGCCCTGCTGGGCGTGCGGTGGGGAACGGTGGGGGCGGCGGTAAGAGGGAGGAGGGGACGCGGAGTTAGAGCACGTTGTCGTGAATCTTCCTCTGTCCACCCTCATTCCCTTTCTCCCCTGTGTATCCTGCTGACTTCTCCTTCTCTCCTTCCTTCCCTGCCACCCGTACTACTGATCAGGTTCATCCCTTCTTCCTCCTGGCGTATGTAAACACTCTTTCTGCACTCCTCCTGGTACCTCAGGCTTCCCCTCAGGCTTCTCCTGTAGCAAGCGTAACACTCCCCTTAAGGGCTCCGTCAAATTGCTTATAGCTTCTCCTACTGCTAGTTCCCTCTGATTAGGAAAACAAATTGCAGTAAATGAGAAACATACAAGCAAAAAGCAAGAAGCCCGAGTGCTACTCCTGCCTACATCTATCCCCACCCCCTGCCTAGGTTGCTTCCTCCACAAGCAAGCTCCTGTTCACCAAGCGAGTCAGCCGGGCTGCTCGCGAGGTCTCCAAGGTGCTAGCTGTGTTCCCACTGGGCCCACTAGGCATGCACTGCCTTCCAGCCTGGTGACTTCGAATTCAATTCCCAGGCTGGCATTGAATTCGCCTTCCAGCCTGGTGACTTCGAAATTGAATTCACAGGCTGGAATTGAATTCGTCTCCACCAACCTCCTTGAATTCGCCTCCCACTAACCACCTCCAATTCCCCAGCTACTCGGCTCTGCAGTACAATACAATACACTCCAAGCACACAAATGAAATTAGAGTACAAAAGCGGTAAACTATAGTACACCCTCACCTTGGTTGCTGTGATATTTACACTTAGTTGCCAGCTAAGTGTTAATAACGCGACAACGTGCGCCACCAGAGCCGACAAGGATGGGTCCTTGGCGGGCAAGGCACGGTCGGGAAATCCCAACCGTTGTTGGGGGAGAGGGGGGAGAGGATGATGCTGACCATTCGTCCGATGATGCCCCCTTTATGGCATCAGCCACACCCTCATCGGGAGAGATCTCGGTCGCCGAAGAGGGTGAGGAGGGACGACGTGGCATACGCAATCTTCAAGCCCGACATCCAACGGCAAGGGGGGTAGCGGCCCAAGCACCTCCTGAGGACGACGTGGCAAATGGGGCGGACAACAGGGCACAGGACGTCCGCTCCCCGGAGAGCTGACGGATATGGAAAACTTATGGACTGCAACAGATAGCTGGGATATTGGCAAGCTGACACGAGGCG